TTTAGGACGGATCTTCTTGTCTTCTTTGGAGGTTTCTAAGCTGCACTTAAATTTTACCAGCTCAAGTTCCTCACAGGTTTTATAACCGAGCATTGCAGGTCCTGGTACATCAGTAACATTGAAGATGATCTCTTTAATACTGCCATTTTGATAGACGTACAGTGGACAGGTTCCAAGGGTCTTGATGGTGTAGCTTCCGTATGCAGTAACCCTGTACTGCGTTGGGCCAAGATGTCTATGCTGGGGATTGGGGTTGAGTCTGTTGTAATCTTGTTTGGAAATAACATTTACCTCTGTACCAGTGTCAATCTTGCAGGTAAGGAGACTTTGGTGCGGTTTTTTCGCTGCTCGATGCTTGCGATCGTTGAGGTACTGGAGCTGTCTTGGGCATCTAGTGTTCCCAGGAAGACTTTGTCATAGCTTGAGCATTCGCTTGTTACACCATTAGGCTGTTCTTTCTGTAGGGTCATCACATCTTGTTTTAGACTTGCAAACTTTGCTGAAATGACCACGTTTATGCAGTTGAAGCATGCTACTCCAATGGCTGGGCATTGTTGGCCTTTGGTGTGTGGTGTATCCCCACATCGATAGCACTGCCTCGGGTTGTTGACGTGTCGTTTGTTTCCTCCACCACCGGTATACTTTTGGTGTGGCTGGTGTCCGAACCTGCTTACTTTGCTTATTGCATTTACTTCTTCCTCTTCTTGCCTTGGGGTTGTAGTGTCGCTCATAGCTTTCAATTGCAGCTGGGTAGCCTCATCGGTTCGAGCAATTTCTTTTGCCTTTGCAAAGGTTAAATCATTGCCGCGCGCAATGCATTTTCGTCTCACCTCTTCTGAGTCGGTGCCAAAAACTAATGTGTCACGCATGAGTTCGTCATGTAAGTCAGGTGGGTAACAAGAACTCTGTACGAGTAATCTTGCTTCGGTCAGGAAGGTGGGCGATTATTCTGTTTGAAACCTCGGAGATAGTACCTGTTCAAGATATGGTTTGCTTGCGGTTTGACGTGATCTTCGAATCTTGTCCAATATTCTTTCAGGTCTTTCTGCTGTTCATCGGTTAGTGGCTACGTGTTAAATAAGTCCAGGCCATAATCTCCTGACCACAGCAACACATATTTGAACTTCTGAGTGCTGTCTCGACTTTTTAATGGTCCATCAAGTAGCAGCTCGCACTTTTGGCGGAGTCTCTCGAATCTAGTTAACAAATCTGGGCCAGGGTTTCCAGTCCATTTTTGGTACTTCGAAACCAACCAAGTCGCTCATTTTGGCTGAATCGCACGATAAGACCTTGTAGTCAACTCTCTAAAATCGTACGTACCGGTTTCCTTGGTTGTCCTAATACTGAAAACTCCTCCGTTGGCGTAAATCTATCCCGCTTCTGACATCCATGTCACAATATTGCCTTCTATGTTCTTTATTTAACAATGCAACGGGTACTACACGACAACACGAGCGGCCAACATGGCGGATACCAGAGGTTCTACTTCAAGCTCCCGAGGCCCGATGGGAGCACGTGGCATGACGTAATATGACAAGTAAAGCCATGTACATGTAGTAGGTGTTTTTCCATAACATCGAACAACTGAGGCGAGTAAATGATAAATAGTATTGGTCCTAAACAAGAGCCTTGAGGTACCCAGCAATCCAGGTAGAAAGTGTTCCACTGATGGATATCCACTGATTTCTATCAGACAAATATGTTTTGAACCAGTTCAGGACTATCCCCTGTAACCCAACTTTGTTTTGTCGTGTAGTCATTATGACCACTTTTCAATTTCCTAGGATTTCTAGTCAGACTGGTAATATCCTTGTTTCAGGGTAACCATGAGGTTTGGCTTTTATTAACGTAGTGTCAGGCTACCATAGTTGTTTTCTAAAGAAGCAAAAAAATAGTTTTTGTAAAATATAGAACAACTTTAATAAAAGCAACATTATAAATATTTGACTACCAGATCACAAAAAAACAGGTATATTTTCTCCTTCTTACAAAATTCTTGAACTTGCAAAGGTTAAATATTTGTTTACAAGCAAGTTTTCTGCAAACTGACAATGGTCCCCATAATTTTTCAGTTACAGCTGTATCTTCAACTAACGGTTTATAAATCAGCGCAAATTATAATTTTAACCTTACAATAGAAACTTCCAAAACAGAAAAAATGGGGTGTGCTTGGTCCTTCTTGGAACATTTCTTCACTTTGCCGGGATGATGAAGTCATATTTTCCCTTTTCATTACAATTGAAACTTCCAAACCAGCTTTATCGTTGTAAACCTGAAAACATTTCCTGCTGTCGATCTAGTGTGACCGGTAGTCAAGCAACTTTTAATAAGAGATTGTTTTGTGGTATGTTTTGCTGATTTTAGGCAGATCCTATCTATGGCAGTTTTCGGACCGGGTCCGCGGACTACCTATGGACCGGTCCACAGACTACCCCTACGGACCCTCTCTACAGACCATCCCCAAAATAGAATAAAAATAAGAAATAAATACTTCACTTATGGGTTGTATAATAGATTACTCGTGTTGGCGAAATTTCGAGTACTACACTGTGCAAATGTATTAACACCCTCCCCCCGTCCCCCGGCCCCCCCCAAAAAGCCTAAAAGCTGTTTTCAGCGTAAGGAGATGCCGATGGCAAAAACAAGGAAAATTGTTATTTTCTATTCGTGGCTCAATCTGGCTATGGAAGATGTGTTTTTAGGTCGTTCAAGCATGTTTGTATCTGTAATTGCGCTGAGTAAATCATGAAGCCTGGAACGAGTTCAGGAATCCACGCGAGAATGGGCTGAACAAAATGGTGGAGGGGAAAGAACACAAATTTCGAGGCTTCCTGGAGGCTTCCCGGAGGGTTCCTGGAGGGTTTCACGGTCTTTCATATACAGTATGGCCACAGCAAAGGAAATGGCAATGTGTAATGATATAACTTAGGCCCGAGCCTTAACCCAAGAATGTTACATTTGCAAAAAATTATGTAACGTTCGAAATTTCGCCGACACGATCTATTAGACAACCCACAACTGAAATACTTATTTCTTATTTTTACTCTATTTTGGGGGATGGTCTGTAGAGGGGGGTCCATAGGGGTATTCCGTGGACCATAGGTAGTCCGCGGACTGGGGGTCAGTGTTTTCGAGTTACCCCCTCGAAAGTCTCGAAATAATTTGGAGCTCAAGAAATGGTTTGATGAGACTAAAGTATCTTTGCCGCTATTATTGATGTGTGCGTTTTATGTAGAAGAGTTCCAAAGGAAAAGCATAGTAATAAAGCAATGATTACTTACCAATACGAAAGTGAATATGTGTTTAACCAATATGGCTGCCATGACTGCCTCGTTAATTCCCTCGTGGTAGCGTGTGTTAAAATAATCCATTTAGGGTCCCCTAGGTGTGAACGTTTCGACTTGTCAATCCATATTGCGATTTTCAGAGGTTGCGAATCTCTGACTTGATGTTAAAATTTATTTATTACACCATACAAACATTTCGTATTCTTTGCATTTGCTTATCGAAGTTTATTTGGACTTTAATAAGCCGAAGTGGGGAGGGGTGGTGAGGACACTTTCACTTCCGTCTACGGTCCACAATTTCCGTCCACAAACTTCCGTCGACATTTGCTACATCACGATTCTCATTCACTGCTTACGCATGAATGAGCTAAAAACGAGAACGCACAAGAAACTTCTTGTCTTTGTCACACAATTTTAACCTTCGTTGCCAAAATTTGAAAAGCATAGTCACGGACAAATGGCATTTTTAAATACGAAACCAGCCATAATAATTACTCATGGGCCACCCTTGATCTCTTATAGAAAAGGAAAATCGCTTCAGACATGCTTGTAAAAGCAAAACTTTAAAGGCTTTAAACCACACAATGGCCACACTGCATGAGTCGCGCGGTCTGTCTACTCACTTTAATCCGGCAACCCCACACAGCACAATGATCGTCACCGGGCATATTTCCAATATTATTTGTATAACTGAGCTTCTAAATAAGCCAAGAGTAGCCTGTACACAACTTAAATACTGGGTTGTTTACTCTCGATTTATACCTAATTTTTTCAAAATATACCTCTCGGAAGCAAAGGAGTTTATCGGTAGATTTTATCACATATTTCGCGGTTATGCGAACAAAAACTTACATTTTCCACCTATCAATATTGCCCAGATCCATTTTTAATAAAGCAACGGCGAAAAAGCGTTGATCTCTCCCGAAAATGGTTTTTTGGAAATCAAAACAACTTTTCGATATACATATCCTTCTAGCGACTTGCAATGTTTGCCCCCACTCCTCCTCCCTTGACGATCCTCGAGTTCGTCGCGCATAGCACGGTATCCGATTGCTGGCAACTCATTATTGTGGAAGTTAACGTGGTTATTACTACGCTAAGCGATTGGCTGAAAACCTCATTTTCTCACGTTTTGCGTCAGCTGCATGTACTTGCTTGGAGTTTTTATCCATACGTCTTTTGTGATTGACTTTGGCTCAATGAAATTCGAACAGTTGAGGTGACTCTGAACACCCTCTACAGAATGTGTTAAAAAGTTGCATCTTATTATGCTTGTCACAATGTCATAATACAAAATGGGAATCTTGTTGAGTTTTAGGCGCTAAAAGCTAAAATTTAGGGTGTTTCTAATAGGTTGAATTGATGCTATGGTAATCTGTTATACGAAAAGGATGACCACAACTTGTTTGCCAAGGAACATTTGTGAACATTTCTGTGATATTATTATTGTAGGATCATGTGACAAATAGTGGTAGTATTGATCCATCAAAGTGCAAGTGATGGAAAGAACTAGAAACCATTGTAAGCCACCTTAAACTGTACGGTTAAAGATATACGTTGTGTTTGTTAAATATCGAATTTTGCTATTATAAAAGAAACGTTAATTATCCAGCGCTCGTCCAGCAAAAACGCCTGCACTAAAGGCTACATTAAACATAAAGTGAAGCCTGGCAATTCATGGCTGCACAAAGTGAATATCATTCTTTTCTTTACCTTGGATACTGCAGATTATAAAATGGAGGTTGCAAAATGGCAGCAGGAAAGACTGAAATTCAAAAACGTTTTGTTATCTTGTTAGACAATAATAACTCCTTTGGAGTAGAGGTTAGAAAAAACTATTTTTAAAGGTGTAAAACCCAGTTTCGAAGTTTAAATTAACCAATACGTATGGGTTATTGACCAAGTGTGAGGCCAAGATGGCTGGATATTGGCCAAGTTCTTTTTTGTCTCCGTCTCGGTCCATAAACTCGCGAAAAAAGAACGAGGCCAATATCCAGCCATCTTGACCGAACAAGCTTGGTCAATAAAGGATTTATTATATGCCTTTCGNGGTAGTCCCGAGCGGGCAAGATAGCTCCATCTTGCCCGCTCGGGTAGCCAATCACAGCGCAGGATTTGATTCATCTTGCCCGCTCACGGAGCTAGCCCTATAATAAAATCTCTTATGCGCGACTGTCAAGCGATAATCGCCTTCTGAAAAACTCTCGTATTTTTTCTCCCTGAGCTCAAGAAACATTTGTGAATATAGCAGTACAGCCATTCATACCATGCCATAGGAAATACAGCGAATCAGAAAACAGGAAAGCCGTGGGTTGTTTCATGCAGGTATACCACTCGAAAGCGATACTCCTACAACATTCCACGAGGGTTTAGAAGTAGCCAATATCATGACGCGCATTTTGCTCAGGTGAACAGCCTTAGGCACTTTACACGCATTTTCCTCCTCAAAAAAAACATCCAAATAACGCTTGTGGTAGTGCAATCCGCTAGAAAACTGGGTGCCAGCTTAAAAAATGTAAAGAAAACAAACGTCCTGCTCGTTGCTAGTGAAAGGCTCCAAGTAGAATTCGTAAATTTGAAAAAAAGCATTCTATAATGATAGATTTGTGTAACAACTGGTCAGCACCAGTTACAAAGTAAAGTTCCTTACCCATTTTATTTTCATTGTATGCATAAAATGCGTTCAGCATTGTTGGAGGGAAAGGCCATCTGCAACATTCGTCAAAGCAATAGAAAACATAGTAGCAACGTCAGCAGAAGTATCAAATTTGTATACATTGCGCTAACTTCAAACCAGCAACCTCTAATCTTCACTGATATACTGGACGCATTATTCTACGACGAACGTTATAACTGCAAAGTTATTCCCTAGCGACGGCGATTTTAATGTTTTAGTTTAAGTTTAATGTTTTGGTTTTGGGTTTAGTGAACAAACAAAAGCTACAGTAGTTAGCTGTTGTTGGTTTTAGGCTCTAGAATTTCTTTTCTTCAATTCTGAGCCAGAATTCGATCAAGCAAATGACTGCAATTACATTTCACACACATTGTCAACAGACTATGCCATCATGGATCGCTTTGCAAGAACTGAAGAGTAAAAATTAAACAGACGGAGGAATTGTTTCTGCTTCGTGAGTGTGAGTTAGGAGGGTCTGATTAATCATGCTATATTAGACATAATAACACTATTACTGCACTCACGTAAAAACTCGGATAAGGTTGAACAAATTTTCAAATGTCAGGAACAGTGTTAATCCTCAGTTACACTCGCATTCATACGATCACAGCTAAAACAAATAAGTATCGTTAATCGTATGAATGCGTGTGGAATTACGGATTTAAACTGCGAGTGCAATTAAAAAGAATTTTCAAATATCACAAGGAGTGAAGCCTTCGTACGATTATCCGTTTATTACTAACGCGACTGTATTAATTTGCAGTGTACTGCAAATTAAAAATTTGCACGCCCTCAGCCAATCTCTGTGAAGTAAGTTTCTCAGTCCTAAACACTTATTACTGATACAGGATGAGTCTCTGGGTACATTTTCGAGAGTTTCATTTAAGCGAGACTAAAGCTCGGCGCATACGAGGGGACAAGCCCCTGAGACTGTGTGAACTAGCCATTTTTGTCACAAAAAAAAAAAAAAAAAAAACTAGTCGCAAGAACCAAAATTTGGTCCCTTCAACCTGTCCCACAAGTTAAACTGATTTGGATTGAGTGGAAAAGTCCCTAACTACGACCCAATTAAAATACATTAGTGACAGTTCTAGAGCCTTATAATAAGCTCCTACAATTCCTTGCGAATTCTGCTTCAAGATGGCGGCTCAAGACTTGGCCTGGAAAGACGAAGCCGAGGAAGTAGCTTAGAACGTTACTACCACGAGGATGCTGATAGAATTTTACAAAACTTTGGGGCAAAATCATAAAAATAATGGTAGCAGAAGCAAAACCAATAAAGTGCTAGCTCCTGTTGTCGCAATGTTTGGGAAAGCAAGTCCTCCTCAAAGTGGCATTGACTACATGGTATAAAAAGCACCTAATAATCTAGTGAACAATATAGAGTTATATTGCGCTGGTTTATATCAATGCTACGTTATTTTTTTAATCAATTTGGTTACACTTTGGAAAAGCCGCAGAGTGAGAGAGTGATACCTTTTGCCCCTACTTTTTGGGTATGTTCCTGTGCAATAATACTACAAGGGACTAGTTCCTAAAATTAATCGCATCATGTAAACTCGACGAGGGACTTTGTCGCATGTTACATGCTGACCTTTAAAATAAAACTCAAACGAAATTAAAAGGCATTAGTTATGATATTACAATACTGCGAAGTTTACTTAATTGTGATTGGCTGAGAACAAGCAAATTTATTAAGTCGTGTTCGTAACTATTTCAGTCATACAATAAAAGAGTAATCGTATGAACCCCTAGCAACTAGGATTTACAGAACTCGTGATATTTGCAAATTCTTTCAAGTTGTAATTTTGAGAGAGTTTTCGTGGTGTAGTGTAAAGCCGTACGAGTACCTACACTAAGTTATCATTCGTCACGACTAACGAAACTAAGATTCATATTTATTGATAAATTATCTGAACCATAATAGACATCTGCTTTAAACATTTATAGGGATATTTAAGTAAAAACAGAAATTCTTACTCAGTCTTGTCCACAACAGTTCCAGCTTTTGCAAGCTTGTCGAGATTCATGCTCTTTGACACTGCGATATCATTGTCGAAATATGTTTTTGCATCTATCTTCACCTTTAAACGATCGGGAAAAATGAAAAGAACGGATACAAGATCAGTATTGAACGTAACGTTCCATCACTCAAATCAACACAGACCCGACGGTGATGGGAATAACACGACAAGATGAAAATGTGGGTCAAGTCAAATGATGCGAAACGGAGGAAAGAGAAGGATATGTACTAAAATGAGTCTGAGGCTGAATTGGCCAAAATGTGATACGTTTATGGCAATTTGAAAAGAGAAAAGAAGTTTCGGCCGAAAATCGTCAGCTTCCCTCTTCGGTTTAGAATGACAAATAGCAACGGCCTTTCTAGCGAGCACAATCTGCTAGTGTTGTTTTGGTCGCTATGCGAAACAACACTGAACTATGTTAGGGCACTTCTATAACTTCAATACTTTCGATGCCCGCATCGAGGTCTCCCAGAGTGCCACGCCTCAAGGAAAGTATCTTGAAGTAGCAATCATCTACTTTGCTGACAACCATGGGATGATAAAAATCCATACTATATGCTTTTTAATCCTTCCGATGAGGTTCTATCTGTGTGTCCTTAACAGTCAAAGCTGCACTCCAAGCAATCAATTTCACTCTTATGATTATACTTAACGCCTCCGCTATACGATAGGACATGTTTGTGCCATGAAGGCCTCGCTGCTGCTTGAGTCGCGGCAAAAAGCTTTTTCATACTAATCAAAACACTTAACAAACTGCAATGGATAGGTGTTTTCCCCAACCGCGAGGGAAAAGTCACCACCCAGGTTGCTAAAAAATAGCCAGATGTAACTAGTCAGATGTAACAAGTATTCTCTCTCTCGTTTCGTACTTTATTGTTGATAACCATAAGGAACACAGCCTTCAAAAATTTTTGCAATGGAGGCTCCTTCAACCAAAACAATACGCAAGGATCATACTTCCATTATCATATGACAACAACAACAACAAAAACAACAACAACAACAATAACAACAACCAACCATTCATTTGCTAGAATATAAAGAAAAAGTAAAACCGTGAAGCAAGTGAAAGTAATATATATTTTGCTTGTTCTGAAAGCGTGTTACCCGAGTGGAGGAGAAAGCAATATATATTTTGCTCGTTCTGAAAGCATGTTACCCGGTTGGAAGAGAAAGTATTGTATATTCTGCTCGTTCTGAAAGCGTGTTACCCGGGTGGAGGAGAAAGCAATAATGATATATTTTCCTCGTTCTGAGGCCCCATTTATATGGTCTAGGGTACCCGAGACAACCATCCCCACGAGTTACTGGCCGATGTAATTTTGAGCTTATTTCTTTGTAAAATTCAACCGACCGTTTACATTAGGATCGCGAACCCGTCTCGGGGGGCGAGACAACTCGAGTGGGCGAGTTGTCTCGCCTCGACAGGTAGGGTAACCTGGCAAGCGCGCAACTTTTCTTCATATAAACCCTTTGGCTCGCCTCACCGGGACAACTCTCGGCATGGCGAGTGTCACGTAATACCTAGATTATTCAATATGGGTTATGAATAATCATGCAGGGTAATCTTTGACTCGGCCTACTGGAACTACGTTTAAGCATATAAACACTCACTAAAGTTGCCTTGGGGTAGGGCTGTCTCGGGTAGCCGAGACCATATAACAGGGGCCTGAAAGCGCGTTACCCGAGTGGAAGGAAAACCAGTATTATTTTGCTCGTTCTGAAAGCCTGTTATCATCGAACGTTTCTGCAGAAAACTATCAAACGCGCAAAAGGATCTTAACGAAGTGAAAAGGCTTTAAATTCCTGGTAGTGCTCTTGCAGCCAAGCGTTCGGAGCTTCACGCGCTGTTCGTAAGCCAGTCAGTTTTAAAAACGAGAGGAAAAAACATAAAATGTGTAGCTGTGTGTGCACTCTGTAGTATCAACAGGAGTTTTGCCATAACTCAAAAGAGCGGTCAAACCTTGACGAAAGAACAGAAGCCTGGCGAAACAAAAAAAAAATGTAAAATATACGCTTGGAAGAGGATTCTAGGATCTAAACATACCCCCTTATATTTTCTTGCCATGTATTCAGTGTCCACAATGTAATCAGGATATCCTACGTTTTCAATAAGAGCTTCCGCCTACACACAAACGGTATATTAATTCTTGATTTAAAATAAGACCACATAACAAAACTGAATGTTTAATACTGTTAACGAGAATCGGACCTCTATGCCGGAATCAAAACTAACAGTATGCGTGATGGTGATTATTTTCAACTTAGTTATGAACGGGATGTAAGACATTGAGGGCGTTTTCCATTCGACCAAAAATTCCGGTGTGAATTTCCGGTAATTTCCTGGGTCGAATGGAACAGAATGTTCCGGTTGACTCCGATAACTTCCAGGTTTAAATCGCAAATAAAAATGCAAACAGAACACTGAGAAGTTGACATTGTGGCTTTTTAGAGACCACAACAGCATGGACCTTACACAAACCACAACGGCAGTGAAAACATCGCAAAACAAAGGGTTTAATTAGTGGTATAATGGCTTTGCACGCGTTATAAATCTTTGTACATTTCGTAGCCAACCTGCCCATATTTTTTATTGGAATTAAACGCTTTCTTGACGAATTTAGCTGTAGCTAGTATTTATGGACAGCCAAGCGGCAAGATTCTAACGTAAAATATTGATCCATTTTCGAATACGCGTTGCCGTCATCCTTGCGTGAGATGTCCAACTCGCTGTAATCTCGGCCAAAAGAACAAGCGCTGAATAGAAAATTGCGAATTTACATAATCTCCGAAAAAGAGGACAACCTCCTGAAGTACACCCAAATTTCGAACATTTTTTCCTGGAAATTTCCTTTCCATTTAATTTTCATCCCGGAATTTCCGTAATTTTCGGTTGAATGGTTCGCATTTCGGAAATTCAATAATTTCCCGATTTTCTGGACCCTTTCCCTGGAAATTTCCATACCATTTGGCCCCGTTTTGAAAATTTCGGAATATTTGGTCGAATGGAAAGTGCCCTGAATATGTAAGGATAAAGAGAAGTGGCAAAATTATGACAGTACCATTGCACTAAGAATTCTCAATCTGGGATCAGAAAAAACATAACTGGCTAAAACAGAACTTTGGGAAGCAATGTTTGGACACGTTTAAACCTTTCTTCTGGCTGCCTCTCGGGTCTCATCGTCCATCCATTTCACTTCTCCAATGTTGGAGGTAAAGGCAGCTCGAATATCTTCAATAATGTCCATTGCCTACAAGGGTTAATGTAAAAAAGCAAAAAATATGTAAAAGGGGCATATCAAGTTGGGTTTTCTGATTTTTTGTTAAAATTGTGATCAAGCACATTATAGCTGAGAAAATGGTCCTAGGGCACTAAGATGAAAGGCTCTTGTCACTTTTTGAAGTGGAAGAGCGAATTGTTTAAAAAGAAGTTTCGTAGACACGACGACAGAATCTGAAAAAGTGTGCCAGACTTTTTCAGTTTAACATCACAAGTAAGCACGCGTCAACACCCCATTTATTGCCCGTTTTCATGTGACGTCATCAATTTCCAAACTGAGAAATTACCAATCCTTGTGAAGTTTTAGTTTCATCAGATGTAAGACCCTCTAATAACTTAACGTTTTGCAACGTTTAAGCCCGATAGGGTTCCTCATCATGTAATGGAGCACGTCGGAATTTCCAAGTTTATGCGTTGCGTGACATTAAAATGGCGGCTCGATAGGGCTGTCGAGTAAGTCAAAAGATGAGTTATTGCTCAAGTTTTTACTAATTAAACAGTTCTTGCTCTAGACAAAGTATTAATTTCAATGTATCGGAGCTCTAGCGTAATAACGTTTCGTTTCAATGGCAAAACTCAATGACAGATGTTTCTGTCACTTTACGGCCGCCATGTTTGTGTCCCTCCGAGGGGCACAAACATGGCGACACCATACAAAGCTCTATAAATTTGAGTGAAACACTTTTCCGAATAACGCGCGGATGGAAAACCGTACAGACGTAAAACTTGGCGAGATTATTCATATATCAATCATCTTTCATATCTCAGCTTCTTGACTTAACTTATTGAATAGTTACGATTTTTATTTTTGATGGCGTGACACTGCAAACCAGCCATAGGCTGGTTTCCACTAGAGCACAAGCACAAGCACAAGTGAAAACAGCCGCGACAAAAACATAAGCAAAGCAGAATCATAGGAAGAACGAACCCACTTATTTCTCTTGTTCAGTTTTCACTAGTAACGCGTTCGACATAAGTATAAGCATAAGCACGAGAAAAACGAACAATTCTGTTTGTCTTGCGCTTATGCTTATGCTTATGCTTATGTCGAGCGCATTACTAGTGAAAACTCCACAAGACAAATAGGTGGGTTCGTTCTTCTTATGTTTCTGCTTGTGCTTATGTTTATGTCGCGGCTGCTTTCTATTGTGCTTATGCTTATGCTTGTGCTTGTGCACATCGCATAGAACGTTTGAAATCATACTTTTAACTTAATAACAGTAAATGATAATGACACTAAAATGATGAAATTACGATACAAATAACAATATAACACAATATAATACCTGTGATAAGTTCATAAAGATGGTGAATTTTAAGCTCGGTAATGAAATGTAAAGGTGAATTAATCAACATGACACGAGCGTGGGACAAAGAAAAATTTTGAGTCCCCGACAGGAATCGAACCCATGACCTCCCGAACACCCGCCTTTTATTTGTACACAACAACAAATTAAACCTGCTGCTTGTGAGGTCGTGTAACTAATTTGAAATGCGAATTTACAAATAATAACTAACGACTACTCAAATATTTTAAAAATGTGAATTACAAATGCTGAAATTAAATACTTGAATATACTAGTTTACAAAGGCCAAAAATATTATAAAAGCTAAGAGTTACATATATCCAATCAATTTCTCCCTAGTACGAAATAGTGATTGGACCGAGTGGACTACAATTCAGGGAGTAATCGGGTGAGTAATTTCAAAATCGGACAAACGCACGGCAATAACCAACGTAATTTTCACATCAATGTGTTGAAGGGAGGGCTGGAAAAAAAACTGCATCGAGAAACCTTAAATTACTTGCAGTATTTATGTTTTATTTTTCTTACCAATTTCTTGCTGTCTCCATAAAATTTTTGATCAAGAAAGACTTTTGAAAGAGGTATTCCAAACTTGTGCGAAGTTGTCATTAAACAGAGCTGGTGCTGGTCCGAGTCACTCCAGTAGTTAAACGCTTGTAGATAATAAGATTTAAATATTTCGATAAAATCACTGCTGAGCTGTAGGAACTTTGATTTGACGACTCTCCACATCAGATAATTAGCAACAGTTCTAGACAAAACAAAACATTTACAAATAAGTTCAGTATTTGTAGGCTTTTCCTGAGTATCGTATTATCACAGACAATGTTAACACTACGTAGCGTCTCATTCCTCATTAGATACTCCACCGCTGAGAAAAAGTGCTCGCTTGTGAAATCGGGCCAGCGGTGAACACTGTTCCATGAGCTTGTTCAGTAGTTTTTCTCCCTATGGACGAATATTTTTTACGCCTTTACGACTTATTATTAACACTTTCAAAGCTGTTTTGAGTTTACCTGATGGCATCACCATGTTTGAATGATGCATGTATTTACTTACGTAGGTAAGTATGTAAGTACAGTAGGTAGTTATCTTTTTATGTATCAAGAGCGTACATGACGGAAAAACGATCTTTGTAACGTTTATTTATCAATTATTCCACGAGCGCGCGTTGGATATGAGTTGGCTATAATCCTCTGATTTTCAACAAGCGCGAGTGGAATAATTGTTTTGTTAAAAACGCTCCAAAATATAGAAAACTAAAATAAAATTAAAAACGCCCCCCAAAAATGACGAGAACGCTTAGTATATTTGTAGTGCATGGTATAATGGCTCATAACCCATGATGGCTAAGCCAATGAAAATTCCCGAATTGCATTATCCAATGAGGCAGTTTTTAATAATGCCGAACCGAATATGCTCTCGAGGCAAGACCAGGTTGTTTCTTAGAAACAGAATCCAATAATCTCCAACTCTCTTCTCGGTATTTTGAAATGAGGTCAAACACGGTCTCTCTTTTGCAACATTGGTTAATCAAACAATTATTAAATTCGGGTTTTTTCTGATATTCCGAATAATCAAGGTCTTGGAAAGTATTATGAACCTCAACCTTTGGCCTGAGTTGGTAACACTTACCTCCTTTCTAATGTAACGATATTCACTCCCGGTTTTAGTCTACGTCATTGTGGTGTCATGGTGATCTTTTGGAGACCATGCTTTCCGCTTTTGTAAGTCGCGGTAGAGAATATAGACAACAGTTCTATTCTACACTGTGGTGGTTGTGGTGAAGAGCAATGATAAAATACGTCTGTGCATAGACCTAAAGCCTCTGAACCAGGCCCTCAAACGCAACCATTATCAACTCCCTGTAATTGATGATATTTTACCAGAATTATCAAAGGCAAAGGTCTTTAGTCTAGTAGGTGTCAAGAATGGATTCTGGCATGTCCAGTTGGACACTGATAGCAGCTTCCTCACAACCTTTGGTACCCCACGAGGTTGCTGCCGTTGGACCAGAATGCTATTTGGTATTTCACCTGCACTCAAAGAGTTCCAGCGGCGCCTTGACACTGCCTTAGGAGGACTTCATGGAGTTGTACCTATCCTATTGATGACATCTTGATTTATGGAGTTGGAGAAAGGAAAGTAGAAGCCATCGAAAACCATGACTAGCGGCTCCTAGCCCTGTTAAAGCGTTACGGAAACAAAGGGATCAAGATAAATAAAGAGAAGTGCAAGTTCCGCCTTTCCGAAGATTCCTTCATCGGACATGTCATATCTGCAGCAGGCTTGAAGCCTGATCCAGCTAAGATCCAAGGGGTTCAGAAGATGCCCACCGCAAAAAGTAAGCAAGATATGAAGAGGCTCCTCGGCAAGGTAAATTATTTAATCTTTCTGAAGCTATTGTCCCAATGAGGGAGCTCCTTAAAGAAGAGAACCTGTTCCCGCGGGACGAAGAAGTTCAAGGTGGAAGTTTTGAGCGGATCAAGCAACTAATCTCAGAGTCTCCAGTTCTAAAGTACTTTGATCCCAAAGCAGACACTGAACTCCAAATGCATCTGACAAAGGACTTGGTGCGCGCCTCACGTAAAGCGGTCAGCGAGTAGGGTATGCCTCAAGAGCTACGACATATGCAGAAACTAACTATGCACAGGTTGAAAAGAACTCCTCGCCATTGTATTTGGACTTGAACGGTTGGAACTGTATGTCCAAGGAAGATCCGTCAAGATTGAAACAGCCCTTCGAATCCATCTTCAAGAAAAGCTTAACAACTGCCCCAAAGTGTCTACAACGCAAGATGCTACGACTCCAGAAGTATGAACTTAGAGTTATTCACAAGAAGGGATCCGAGATGTACTTCGCAGATACACTCAGTAGAGTATTTGGCCAATCATCTGTCTGTGTAGACAGTAGAGGAGACGCTGAGAAAGATGCAGAGAGTATCAACATTGTCCAGTACCTACCAATGTCTTAGACGACACAGAATGTTATTAGCACAGCTACTGAGTCACACCCGGTCATAAGAGAAGGTTGCCAGAGAATAACGACCTCCTTCCTGCAAGAATCAAAGATTACTTCCCCTTTCGAGAAGACGTGAAACTCCAGAATGGATTGGTTGTCAAAGGCGAACGGTTGGTTTGTACCTGAATGTGTGAGAGAAGAAATGAAGGCCAAGATCCACAAAAGCCACATAGGCATCCAAGGCTGCTTACGTAGAGCAGGAGAGAAGTTGTATTGCACGAACAGAGACATCGAGAACTGCATCGCCCAGTGCGACGCCTGCAGCAGTGAGCCCAAGGAACAAACTAAAGAACCAATGATCCGTACGAGATGCCAACCCGTCCTTGGGAAAAGATAGCGGTGGACTTGTTCCAGTCGAATGGCAAAGATTACATGGTTACTGTCGATTATTACTCAAGATTATTTGAAGTTGACAGTCTAACATCACAAACAGCTGAAGGAATCATTAGGAAGCTCAAAGCCTATCTAGCCTGGCGTGGCATACCAGATCAAGCTGTATCAGACAATGGAAAAAAACTTTGCATCTGATAGCTTCCATGAGTTCGCCAACACCTACAGTTTTGAACAAGTGACAAGCTGCCCCACATATGCCCAGTCACACGGGCAAGTAGAGAATGCCCACAAGACAGACAGAATCACTCCAGAAATGGTAGCCTAATCCAGGTGGGACCCGTGGCTGTCACTATTAGATTGGGGAAACACTTCAACAGAAGCCCTTAACTCCCCACCAGCTCAGCGGCTGTTCGGTAGAAGAAACAAAACTCTTCTTCCCCCTTCAACCTCCTTTTAGTCCCAAAGTTGAGAATAAAGAAGTCAAAACGGGCAATGTACTACGACAGAGGTGCTAAGGAGCTGGAAGAGCTGTGCCATGGACACCCGAAATAGTCTCAGCTCCGTAAGAAGAAGGATTGGACACTTGCAAGAGATTGAAGGGAAAGTAGACATCGGATCTTACCAGGTCCGAACTGAAGACGGACGGGTATACACAAGAAACAGACGACAGCTTAGGCGCGTAAAACTATGCGTAAAACAACGCGCGACAGCACGTTCGAGAAGGTGTTGCCCCCAAGACCCAAACCACCTAGTTCTCCAAATCCATCTGACAAAGTACCAGTGCCACCTGCCACTTCGAGTACTCGTGAGAGTCAAGAATTACACACTAGTGCAAAGGTTCCCATTAAAATAGCCAGTACCTTCTGCACAAGGCAAGTACAAGACTTCTCCACCCCCACCGGCGGTACCAACACGAAGTGGACGAATTGTCAGACGCCCTGCACGCTTTGCGGACCAATTGTCATACGAGACATTATCAAGAGTAATTGGACATGACAATATTGTCAAGAGTAATCGGACACGACAACATTATCAAGAGTAAACGGACACGAGAAGGCGTTTCTTTATTTTCTTTATTTTGATTTTCAATTGGATTGTGATTGTCTTTTGTCGTTTATTTCTGTTATTGTAAGAAGGGGAGATGTAAAGATATTCACATCCGGTTTTAGTCTACGTCATCGAGGTTTTCATGGTAATCTTTCGGAGACCATGCTTTCCGCTTTTGTAAGTCGCGGTCGAGAATAAAAACAAGAGGTTTAGTCTACACTGGTTAAGTATCTTCTTGCTCTTCTTACGAATAACTTTTGTTTTGACGTTACACCTACTTACTGTGAATATAATGAAAGATCTCATCCAATAAGTGTTTGATAAAATTCAAAATGCAATCTAGCTTGCCCAATCACGGAGCGTACGAAATGTACACGAGTCGCCTCATCACGGGTGCTTTAATTGAAATGTTCACTTTTTCCTTTGACAACAAACCTTTTAGGTGTTTTGCTTAGTAGTTTGACCAGCCTTCTCAGATATTCCAAAGAGTATACCACAACTTTTGTTTGACTGTTAACTTGAAATGAATTATCCTTCATCATAACCCCCACGTATCTTGTCCAGTTGACCTACCGAGTTAACAAATATTCAGTTGGAAAATGAAAACAATACAAGAACACCATCCATATACAGAATGCAGAGATACTCACAAAATTGCCTGTGTAATTCTGTAGCTCTGACAGCGCGAGCTTCTTGTAAGCCTGTTCAAACGTTGGCATTTTAAATCGTGGAGTGGATATCTAGAAACAAGACGAAACAAAGTGGGAAAAAAAGTTGAGTTTGAATAACCAAAATTATTCCTTTTACCCAAACCAGCACTACTACTTGTCCTTCTCCACCTACTACTACTACCACGACTACTATTACAAATTCTATTACCACTTCTCTTACCACTACCACTGCAACTACAGTTACTACAGTCTCGACCACCATTACCACTTCCACCAGCCCAACCACCACGACCGTTACCACTACCACTACCACTACCACTACCACTGCCACTGATGCTGCCACTGCCACTGCCACTGCCACTGCCACTGCCACTGCCACTGCCACTGCCCCCGCCATTACCACTGCCACTACCACTGCCACTGTCACTGTCACTGTCACTGTCATTGTCACTGCCACTGTACTCAAGTTCGTAATGGAATATGACATAAAAAGTCCCTCTCTTCTGACAAAATGCATATGGCATTCACTTGTCAATTTATACTAGAGAAATTTCAAAATATAGTTTTGAAAAAGGACGAACAGGAACAGCCAGCCAAATAAACTTGCTTGCAAATGACAGTGACAACATCCCATGACATTTATGCATTCATCTTTCCATTCGTTCGTTCGTTCTTTCGTTCATTCATTTATTCACTTTTCCAGAGCAATCCTGGCAAAATTTCAGGCACGTAATGGTATCTATAATACAAACAAGACCTTTGCAAGTTCTTTCTCGAATTGAAATATTTCTAACAGTTGAACTTCTGAAGCTTCTGTTGCTCCAAGTTTTCGTGTTAAGTTTCTCATCAGACCTTTGTATGCTTCTCGGACCTAAAAAGGACAAAAACAGTGGGCAAAACGAGTTTCTACTCAGGACTGTAAATGATGTTATTCATAGATTATTTAAATAAATACTTTTTGATTAATTAAAGATGAAATAGACAGACAAAATGTGGGCAAGCTGTGAGGTTACATTTGGACAAGAAGACGCCCGCCTCTTGTTGGTAGGTTATAAACAAAAATTTACACATAATAATAAACTAATAACTGATTAGGTCAAAGTAAACCATTACATCTGACGGCGTGATTTGGCAATAGAGAACTAAATCCGGGTAGGAAATGGTACCCTCGCCTATACACTAATTAATAAAGCTCATGCCTACCCGCAGACTCTCGGAGTCGTTTGTGAGGAGCTCCCTTCGCGACAGTGAGGTGTAAGATTCGCCAAACTAAAGCATAGGAAAAACAATACAATCTTAACGACTGGTCCTAAGGTAAAGAATTAATTTTGTTTACCGAGAGTATCAGTGCTTCCTGTGGCGGCGTAGTTAGAAGGGGAAACAAAATCAACTACATATTTATAAAACGCCCTGTTAGAAAGTGTACGTCGAAAGCCCTACTTCAGTGACTCGGCAGAAACTCAGAACTAGCAAGAGCTGTTGCCGTAATGATGACACTGGGAAAAAGAAGATTTTTAGCATCGACTTAAACCAGCGGGTTTCTTTCTTTTTCACGAAGTGTTTTCTAAAAGATTAAAAGAAAAACACGCGATTCCAGCCATTTAGACAAGTTTTGGAGACAGAGAAATTCAGTGGGAACACGAGCCGCAGGCCATTAGTAAATCTGATGTGAAGACAGTGCTCGTCGGTCAATGTGCGTGGGTAACAATGGAAACCCTCTGACGTCATGAACTAGACCTTCGATTGGGGGACAGTTTCATTGCTAGTTGTTACGTGACTTTGGAATTGAGACCAAAAAGTGTAACTTATTTTCCATGTCTACAAGTACGATGGACCCAGGTGAAAGAGCATCATTTCTAGCACCTTTCCTCGCTGTAACAATGTTGCATTGAAATTACAAAAAACGTGGCTGTTTGTATAGCATTGGTACAACGTACTGCAATCCTCAATGGGTTGATAGTACGGGCAACAACACTTCCATCTTAAAGTGCAACTCATTTGCGAAACAACCTCGGGTAAGTAGAGTCGATTCGTCTAACTTTGAAGTCGGCTTTGGGTACAATTGTGGGTCCCTCTAGGCTATACATTTAAGGGTGCAACTAACTGAACGCGGGGTTTAAAGAAATCCATCTTACCGTAATGGCATTCTGTGAACTGTTTTTGTTATCAATCACAACTGCCATAGAAAACAGAATCGGTGAGACAAGATCTTTGTGGATCCTTGCGAGTTTGCTAACAAAGTCCCAGTCTTTTTCCTCCCAGTTTTTATCCGTGATGCTCCATGATCCGTATTCCTTAATAAGCTTCTTAAGAGGCTCGCCTTTAAGTCTCTCGATCTCATCTACGTCCATACAAGAATCATAATAAGCCAAGGCCTTCCACACTGCTTCTTCCTAAACAGAAAGGGCGACAGAAGGAGCTGGCTTTATTTCTTGAGACTACTATAGTAGTACAGGGCGCTCATAGGGACGGTAACCAATCAGGAGCCGAGAAAGACAATAGGCTATTGTTTAGAGAACAATGAATGCCATTGTTTTCAAAATCCAAGATGGCGGAGGTTATTTTCAGCCAATCAGGAGCTTAATTAAGACCTGAGCAGCAGTGAAACCTGGAAACTAGGTCCCAGGTTTCCATAGGAAGGAGGATGAACACAGGAGTCTGTTTTGGGCGGGAAAATTGCCCACCAGACGCAAAGGCCTGGGACCAGTCTTACCATTTTCCCCTCAGAATTGTCCGATACGTCAATCGAGAATCAATCTATACATATGTAAATCAAATGTGAAACAATTGTATTTTCAAAAAAAATCCTAATTCTTTACAAGAGGGACCTGTGTCCACTCCCTTAGTGGGAGGACGCCCATAAACATTATTTCACAATAAACGTAAATCATTAGTGTGTGCGTTGACGGTGCCTGACTTATGCAACATTACTTTGTATTTACTTGCATTTGTGAATTGGTGCTTCTTTGGTATTTCTACATATTTTTTCACGCAAATGCAACAAATGCTTATAACAGCTTAGAAACTCTGACGAGTAACGAATAATAAGCGAAGGCAAAAATATATAGGGTAAAAGGCGAGAAGAAGAAAATACAATTGAAATACTTCAAGTGGAAATGATTTGCTAATGGCAGTTTGCAATGAAATCTAAACTCCTTGACCTCGACTGTTCCGTTGAGAAAAGCATCATTCAAAAGAATCTTGAACAAAAAATAGGCATTTTGGGCGACCATTGAAGAATTAACATAATTAGTCAGAGATGGAACGTGCAATAAATCAAAAGCAAAAAGCACATGTTTAGAAACTGTATCTTAACCCTTGAGAATAACCTGAGAGAAACTTCAAACTTTTCGCGCTTGAAGTAAAGACCTAACTTCATTTACAAACACTATAAACTAATCGCTTCAAATAAAACAGACGCTCGAATAATAAGCAGTTTTCAAATAGCGACCAAAATCACTTACATCAAACATAGTACTTTCCTCCGAAAGCGTCACACAACTCGCGATCACTCAACTCCATAACTGCCAAGACAGAAAGAAACTACAAAGAAGAGGTGTGCTGAATGTTGTCACAAGTAAAATGAACTCTCTCAAGACCGTTTGACTTATAAACGGGTATTCACAAAACAATATAATAGACAATGTGACGCGGTTAACAACCGATGAGAAGATGGGGGATAGGGGGTACGCGATATCACGTGGTTAAGAACCAAAGAGAAGATGGGAGATAGGGGGTATACACCACAGTAATGTGATTAAATTGTTATAAACAATTGCAAAACAGAGTCTGAGTCTTTATAACGTTTCTTTA